CCCCCCCCCGTTATAGGTTTTATAAGCTCCTGTCCTGATTGGGTAGTGGACAAGCTTAGGTGTGGCTCAGGGGGAGGTTGACCCACAGGTCCTGGGAGGCTGATGGTAACGAGGAATCCCTTCGGGCTCCTTGCACATAGGCAACAATGACTTGGTTTCCTTGGTTCTACTGCTGTCGAGTAGGGAGCGGTGCCTCGGTGTTTCCATCTGTAAAATAGGGTAATGGCATGTTCTTTCCTCTGGGAAGTGCTTTGCAATGTAGCTTTCTTGCAAGTATTATGTACACTGGCTCTTACTGTTAATGCTCTTTCATAGATTGTAAGGGGTGGGAAGGGCCCTCAGAGGATCATTGGGTCCAGCCCCCTGCACTGAGCAGGAAAGACAACTGGGGTCAGGTGACCCCAGCTCAGTGACTGTCTAGTCTCCTCTTAAAGGTGTCCAGGGAAGGTGATTGCACCACCTCTGGAGGGAGCTTATTCCACAGTCTGGACACCCTGACCGTGAAGAAGTTTTTCCTAATGTTGAGCCTGAATCTATCTTCCAGGAGTTTGTGCCCGTTGTTCCTGGTTTTCCCCTTGGGTGCCCTTGTGAACAGTTGTTCAATGAGCCCTTGATGTACTCCCCTAGTGTAGTGGTAAGCTGCTACCACCTCCCCCTCAGCTTTCTTTTCCTCAGGCTGAAGAGTATGGCTCGCCCTGTATCTGCCCTGAGAGACTGATGTACTTTTTCAACATCCAGCCTACTGTGAAACTTGGAGCAACCCAATTCAAATACGTATTTTAAAAAATCACCTTAATTCCACTGAAGAAAATAACTTTCATTGGAGGATTAGACTTCTTTCCTGATGCCATAACTCCTCCACAAAGTCAGATGCATAGTTTGCCCTTCAGAGCATGTGCTTCTGATACCGTTGCTGTAAGCTGTCCATGTTTGTCTTAAATTTTATTTTTATAACTTGTCAAGATAACCTGCTTCAGGCTAACACTTTTGCTTGCAAGACTTGAATTTTTCCCTAAAACAATTTGCACACAATCGGTATCTGAAAGCTGAACTTATAAAGCTTTGTGTGGGTCCTGTATATAACCAAATGGAAGTAATGTTTCAAACATTGTGAAAGTGTCTTTGCCTCACAGCTGGACAGAAGGGGAAAGCATCAGGTGTTTGGGATGGGGGAGCTGAGGCACAAAGACAAAAAGTGAAAGAGCCAGTAAAAACTAAGAATTCCATAATTAATACGTAGTCCTGAACTTTTGGGGAGTTGAAAGCACTTGCAAAGGCATAACACATCAGTAGGTAGGTATAACATCAGTTTCTAACATGACTCTTCTGGCTCTTACCTTGTTTCAGTACCCAACTTGAAAATACTGCTCGGATCCAAAATTAGTGTTTGATAAGTATTAAAACTCAGACTTGTAACTGCTGTGTGGGTATGAGAGGATGAATATTAAGAGGAAGTTGGTGGTATTTGACAGGAAATACAGCAGTAGACAAATGTATGCTGTATACGTAAAATGCTGCGGGAAAAAGAAAAGAATTCATACAAGGTCTGTTTATCTAATTTAGAATGCAAAGAACAAAAATCATCCAGGTGATGATACAAGTTTGAAGCTCTGGCAATGACAGTTGTGAACAACCAGGGCAGAAAGAGTCATTCTGTATCTCAGGGGTCCTTAAGAAGATGGTTCCCCCTTTAGCTGGGGGAAAACAAATTAGTTCCTGTGGTTCCTTTTTCATGTGTCTTCTGGGACAACACGTGTGTGCTTCTGGATAAAACATTTTACCTGAATAGTTAGTGAAATGTTAAATGAGCTCACAAACAATATAGCTGAAACTTTTGAACAGTACAGAAGGATGTATTTCTCTACATTCAAATTGGATATCGGTTTCTAATCTTTTTTTTGTAAACCCTTACAAAGCATCCAGAACAATGGCAGTGAATCATATAAAAAACCTTTACACTTCCTATAAATATTGAAGGTGCCAGCAAAATGGCTTGCTGAACAAGTAGGAATAATCCAGACCTATTTTACATGCTTTACTTTATGTGCACCTTACTTCACATGCTTTACCATATTCTTAATATGAAACAGTCATGTTTAACTGTATAATTTGAAATTTGATCACAAGAAGCCTTGTGTTCACATAGTACTATGCAGCTTTTTCTGGAGAGGGTATACATTATTGCCCCATGTAAGATATAGGTGTTTTCATAAAAATTGTTTCCCACTTAACAAGATTGTCCTTTCAGACAGGAAAAGCAAGGGAATGGGGAATTCATCCCTTTGTTTAGAGGAAACAAATTACTTTCTCATAAACCTAATCAAGGAAGGCACAAAGCCACTTGGCAAGAGTTTGCTTACATTAAGTATTTGCTAGGAATGTTTATAGTCTGTTTTTGAAAGTTATACAGTATAACCTCATAAATCCAGAATTATCGAAAATCCAGCACTTTATAAGACTGCCGCTACTCCCTGATGGAGTGTAGCCAGTCCCAGAGCAGCGGAAGGGGAAGCTTGCATACAGCAGCTGCTGCCGCGATCCACCACCCCACGCCACCACTCCGCATGGGGCCGCTGCTTCCGGACCAGCCGCCGTTCCAGTTTGAAAATTCTGACATTTCCGTCAGGTGCTCGGTCCTGAGCATGCCGGATTTATGAGGTTATACTGTACGCAAAATATTAAGACCCAGGAGTATTCAAATGGTAGAATTCTGATTGGGGAGGAGTGGATGTGTTTGTGGCAACCTTCTCTAGAACATTTTCTCTAAACGCTTCAATTCAGGTTAAGTTTTGAAGAGATGCTTATGTCTGTCTCTTTTGCCACAGGCAGCATCTCTTGAGAGGGGGAGAGCTGCTGGTTGAACTTCCTAACTCACTGTTTTGGTGACAGAAGATTAATGGGGCTTCCAAGTTGCACCCCCATCCTCACTGCACTTCCTGCATGTTTCTCCTTCGGAGTAGTGAATAACCACCTCCTTACCTTAAACCAAGTAATAAAGTAGGCTGTGAATAGTTGGGTCCAGTTTGGACATACACATTCATCCACCTTCTCTTCATGTCCCCCTTTCTTGCAATAAATTTGGAGCCAGTTGGTGAAATCACACAGACGGACATATTTTTTAACTGGTTCATCTCTTCAAGATCCAACAGGAATATGCTGCATCAAAATTGACTTGTACAAAAGAGATTTCTAAAGGTAGCTTTTTTTTGTAGTAAATACTTTGACAGTTGCTTTTATACTTAGGGGAGTTTTTTGTTTTGCTTTTCTTTTAATCTCCTGCTATAATTCTAACTGGCGGCTCTATAAAAAGCACAGGAGGCTTAATGAATTGACTAATTCTTATTGTAAAATACCCTGGAATAGTGAACTAGTTGAGTCACTCTTTTGGCTGAACATTGATCCTTCTCTAGGGAGAAGAGACTTCTTCAGCAAAGGAATGTCCACTGGATATTTCCATTGTCATGGTCTAGGATGGAGTCTCTTATTTGAAAGATTATAGTCTCCACTACTTAAAACTGATTTTTTTTTTAAATGCTTTAACAGTGTGTTACTGTAGTGGTCTGTTTGGATAAGAAAAGCCACTTGGCTTCAGGTTTCATTACCCAAATGTAACTGGAAGTCAAATTCTAATGCAGTTCAGACAAAAATTCAGCTGAAATTCTGTCTTCGTTCATAGGTTTTTCTAAGTGTGTTGGATCTTAAGGTTCTAAGCCAAGATCAAGAAAAAAATGTATGTTTTTTTGTATTTTCTCCCCATTGTGGATGGAAAGTCTGTACTACACAGGCTGAAATAGGTTAGTTTGTTCTGACTTCCTGTTCCTGTTTTTCCTGCGACTGCCAGTCTTGTAATGTATTGCAGATTTGAGGGGGCACGCCTCCCCTAACATCACATATAGTGCAGACATAATTATCAGAACTAGGTTTTGTTCTAAATGGAAAGCTGTGTGCCAGGATTTAATCCAGTGTATGATTACAGTGAGTGTCTTTTTAATCAGCCACATGGCCCAAGGCCCACTAAGAACTCTTCTTGCTTGCTAAAGTATAAAACTGAACTCTGTCCAAACCTGATTCCCTCTTTCAGTGATAGACAAAGCAGCAAGCAGTTTTGCACAGCATCAAAAAACTGCAAGAAAAACTTGGTCCTTATCAGCTGTCATTTCCATATTCACAATTCCAAATTAGGATGGTGTGTTGTTACCTAAATAGTTTAATGACTAGGAAAAAATAAATGTTTAGAATACAGTTGGGAAAAAATTACTTAAACAGTGTTGAAACCAGAAGAGACAGTGGAGACTTGGTATGATGGAGCTCTCCCTTCATGGTCATAAAGAGACTCATTCTGTCCTATTTGATGTTTACATATCGTGCTTTTTTCTTGCAGTAAGTTGAGTCAAGAGCTCTCAAAAAAGCATAAGAATGGGGCCACTTACTGCAAAGATGCAACTGAATAAAAAATGCTGCGTGTGTTGTTTGTTCAAGCTAAGTGGAGCAACAGTCAGTGGAGATGAGATTTGATTCTCAGAAGAAATGAGTGGCAATGAGGAACTGCCTCTGCAAGGTGTCAAACAGCACTGTTTTCTAAAACTATTTGATAGGCTTAGGGGATGGTGCAGATCTGTATCTGACTTAGATCCTGTCAAGAGGTCACAAAATACTAACCTTATGTCTTAAGTTAAAAAACTTAAATTTGTCTTGTATGACTACAATGAAACTGTCATCAAAAATAGAAGTTTGATTTCCCCCCCCCAGTAAGTTAGAAAAAAATAAGGAGCTTATAATTGTATTATAAACATTTGCTTTTCCTGGTTATTAAAGCATTTGGGTAACAACACGCTGTCCCAGCTTGGAATTATGAAAGAGGAAACGAGAGCTGATAAGGTCCATGTTTCTCTTACTCTGTCATGTTCAAATGGGACATACTTTCTACTGATCAGTGTATTAAAGCTCAAACCAATGGAGCTTGTAAAGAGTTGTTCTCTCTGGATTTCATCTTCTTACAACACTTGCTGTCACCTCAGTAAAAATTGGCTTTGCCCCTGTATAGTGGGGGGGGAGGGGAAGCACTCACCTACCTGTTCTCAGACCTTGGAGGAAGAGATGAGAGGTTATCTGGTAAATATTTAATTAACTTGTGGGCAGACTGTTTCAGTTGTTTTGAAACTAAATGAAAAGTTGGCATCTACATGTTTTATTTGTATTATTCAGCTGCTAAAAGAGGGTCACATGTAATATTTTTTTTCCAAAATTGTCCTCCTCTTCATGCATTGAAACAGTGACTAAAGTGACAGTGAAGCTATCATCCTAGTTAGTCCTCTTTCAAGGTAAATCCAGAGATCAACTCTGGAGCACGATGAAGTAGAGTAAGACAGTATAACTTCCAGCAAGAAGTAAAAAGGGATGTCTGTGAAATCTGAGATTTACATAGCTCACACGTGAGGAAAATGAGAACAGAAGCTATTCCTAACTCAGGAGGGCTTGACTCTGGCATCAAAAGAAGCCGCTAACAGCTAGAACTCCTCCCCAGCAACAGCCTTCTTAAATGTATTGTCAGTGATTGTTTTTTTGATTGCAGTCCAAAAACGCAATTTTTCTTTCATCATCTGTATCCCATGCCCTTTCTGTACTCTCCTGTCTGTATCATTGATGTACAACTGTAAGGTGACATGGGATGAATATGCATTTTACCTTCTAATCTTTTCCTCTCTAGCTGTTCTGGTATATGTGTAATTAAGAAAAAACAAACCGCATAACTGAACATACAAGATTTGTTGTACTGCCAGTGTTCACTTGACTCTATGAAGCAAGTACAGTCTGTGCTTTCATATTTTTCTGTCATTCATCTCATGAGCAGGTGTTAAATTTTACCGTTTTGGTAGTTGTTTATAGTTGGATATTTCTTTAAGCTGTTTTTCAAGGCCCTTGTAACCAACCGCTGCCCAAAGATGTTCTCTTAAAGTATTCTTTGTATGTGTGGGTATCTAAAATCTTCTTAATAGCAAGAATTACCTGGCAAAAGATGCTCTGAATTCCTAGTGATACCTAGTTTCCATAGGAAAGTTCCCTCCGTTCAACTTCATTTCTTAGGAGAAGAATGAACAACATAAGAATTTTCCCCAATCTGATGGAAAGAGCCCTCTAGACATGGAAGCTTACACATCCCATACACTGCAGAGCTCTTCGATAGCTTTAAAATGAACATTGGATAGCTGTAAGCTCTTCTCAGAAGCACTTTACTGCTAGTTGAAATAAAAGTTCTGTCCAGGCAACGGCCTTTCCTAACAGGAAATTGGCTCTTATAGGATGGATGTATCTTTGACATAGTGAGTAAAGCCCTGTTTTTTTGATCCTTCCTTTATCTGTAGAATACCAAGTGATGACCTTCCAATAGGGCTCATTTATTGCTAAACCAAGTAACACAATAGCACCGACTGACTTGCCCACACCAAACAAGTGTGCTAGTGAGTAATCTGTATTATTTTTAGCTGGCTTCCACAAAGCAGTAGTACTGTCCATACTGATTACAGCAATTGTCTGCTTCTGTGCAAGGTGTGATTAATGGACCAAGCTCCTTGCAAAAAAAAAAAAAAAGGTAGCTTTGTTCATTTAACCCATTTCATGAATGCATAAAATATAGTTGTGAGCAAATTCTAAACTTCAGGTGGTCATAAAGCAAGGCTATACACAAGGAAGACCTGGCAGATCCTCTTGCATGTATAAGTAACTCTACTGACACACTCTTTTAATTTTAGCCTCCAGTGTCTGTCTCCCTAGCTGGTGCTTTTCCAGCCATTGTTGTACAGAAATGATAGGCTAATCATTTTCAACCAGTGTGCCAGGGCACTTTGGGGATGCCTTGATTCTTTAAAGGGTGCCATGTGGTGCTGTATATTATTTGCACTGATAGGTGGTACAAGCCCTTGCCCATGATTCACAAGATAAACCCAGATGGCGCATCCCTATGAGCAGAACGTTTGTTTCTCCGAGGACAAACAGCAGTGGCAAAATATGTGCTGCTACTACTTGTTGCCGGGGACCATCTATGCATGTACACTCTGGCGTGTGGCATGTTGTTCCACATAGGGTAAGAGAGGCTGGGGCTGGAACCTAGGCTGGGGCCAGCAGCCTTACTATGAGTCCTAGGGGCTCCAGCTGGCCAGGCTCTGGTTTCAGGTGGCACACACTGCTTCCATGTATGCTGTCCCACTCTTTTTAGGCACAGGGTTTCTCCTGGTATCAGTCCCCCCGCACCCCCGTGCACACTGCAGATTAAAGGGACTTGTGGTATGTAGCACCAAAAATGGATCTGCAGCACTGCATACCGCATATGTGCGCTCATCTGGATGTGCCCATTGTTTTCAACTAGGAATCCATAGTGTCAAAACATTCTGACCTGTTATAGTCGTTTTGAGTGCCTTACAATAGAATTATTGCTCTATTCATAGATTTCATAGACATTAGGGCTGGAAGGGACCTCAGAAGATCATCGAGTCCAGCCGCCTGCCCAAAGGGCAGGAAGTCAGCTGGGGTCATAGGATTCCAGCAAGATAAGCATCCAGTTTGCTCTTGAAGGTGTTCAATGTAGGTGCTTGAACCACCTTCGATGGCAGGCTGTTCCAGACCTTGGGGGCTCGGACAATAAAGAAATTCTTCCTTATGTCCAGCCTGAAGCGGTCTTGTAGTAGTTTATGACCGTTTGACCTCATCGTCCCTTGGGGTGCTCTGGTGAACAAACGTTCCTCCAGATACTGGTGGTCACCCCGATAAACTTATAGGTGGCAATCAGATCACCCCTGAGCCCGCGCTTTTCCAGGCTAAAGAGCCCCATAGCTCTCAGCCTGTCATCATAAGATCTGTTTTCCTGACCTCTGATCATGCGCGTTGCTCTTTGGACTCTCAAGCTTCTCCACATCCTTTTTGAATTGTAGAGCCCAAAACTGGATGCAGTACTCCAGCTGCAGCCTCACCAAGGCTGAGTACAGGGGGAGAATGACCTCCTGGGATTTGCTTGAGAAGCATCTGTGGATGCAAGCCAGCGTTTTGGTAGCTTTACTAGCTGCAGCATTGCATTACAGGCTCATGTTCGTTTTGTCATCAGTGATGACCCCCAAGTCTCTTTCTTCCGTAGTACTAGCCAGCGTAGCGCAACTGAGCCTGTTAGGATGCTGCGGGTTTTTCTTCCCAAGGTGGAGAACCTT